AAAGATCATTTGAGAGCAATGTGAATGATTATATATGCTATATTAGATGCACTCACTCTCTTCCTGAGGCTGAAAATTTTTCTGTAAACATTAACTGCATAGAAGAAAAAATTATAATATTTTCACATTTTTAGCAATGTAAAATATGAACCAAAGTATCTAAACATTATTCTAGATAAAGATGATACTTTTTTTCATCTAAAATGCAGATAAAGATAATTAATATTTTTATTATCTAGATAAAGATGAGATGGCATCAAAATTTCATCTAGATGATCATCTAGATAATTTTATCCAGATAATATCGAACACTGCTGTCGACGGTGTGGGTGCTGGGGGGTGGCCGAAGGCCACCTCCTTGCACCCGCCTGTGTGTGTGTGTGTAAAATATCAAGTAATAGACTCATAATCGTTATATAACGAATGGAACACACACACACACACACACACACGGGCGGGTGCAAGGAGGTGGCCTTCGGCCACCCCCCCGCACCCACACCGTCGACAGAGGTCTGCCCCAATAGTACAATCACAGCAATAGTACAATCGTAGAAGTCGTGTGCCCCTGTGCGGGGAGGGGGGGGGGTGAAAGTTACTTCGCTTGGAAAATTCAACGTTTCTGAACAGGGAAAGGTGTAGAATAGTACTTCATATCATACATGTATAGCATACGTTACAACTATGATTGTTAATAACTTTTTAACGAAGGACGAGCGACAGCTAAAACCTGTTGACGGTTACTCAGGGTCATGACTTTGACAACATATGTCAAGGTCAAAGTCATTGGAGGGAGGTCCCCTGATTGAGACATTTACTATTTTAAAACTATAATTATTAATGACTTTTTAACGAAGGGCAAGCGACGGCTAGTTGTTAAGGCAAAGTTACTCAGAATCATGACTTTGATAACATATCTCAAGGTCAAAGTCATTGGAGGGGGGTTCCCTCATCGACACATTTACCCTAATTTTTATTTCAACCTTCAATTGACACACTTAGGCCCGATTTTTCATTATCTGGTTAACTTGTGGTTAAGCTTAACCTGATGTTTTATCCAATGGGCTTCATCTATGGTGATGTCATGTATAAAGCTCATTAGATGAAACATCAGATTAAGCTTAACCACAAGTTAACTAGATAATGAAAAATCAGGCCTTAACAGTTAATTGATATTGAGACTTTTCAAAATATCGAATTGAATAGGCTCTTGTGACTACTTACTCGGACCTTACTGATGAAAATAATGCCTATATCCATTGTTTGACATCGCTGACGATGGCTCGAATGGAGCCGAGACTTCCAAAATAATTTGCAAAATTTCTTGCAAATTTAATGTAAGATCGTTTTTAATTAAATATATTTGATAATTATACGCATGAATATAACCGTGTTTATCGTTATCTCTCAATTGCCCACTAATTAATTTTACATTTATTATTATGGTTTTTATAATAATACTTATTATTAATTGGAAGTAGTTTTTTTGCTGTTTATTATTACAGTACTTCGATAAGACGAGTGAAGTATTTGAGCAATTAGTCATGGGTAGTAGAAATTACAACTTCTCTGAAGCAAGTATTAAATTGTTAACTTTGGAAAAGAGTCAAATATTTTTAGGTAAAAGAGTGATTCATTAGTTATTAATATTGTATATTGTTCAGTTTCATGTTTGAATAATTTTTCAGACAGTTTAGAACGCGAGCTTGTAAAAGAAGGCGAAAAATTGTCTGACATTCTCTCTATGCCTGTGAAAGATGCACTTGGTCGAGAAGTTCATGTAAAATACGATGAAGATATCGTCAATGTAAAAGATATACTAGATGCGACAAATGCAAGAAAGAATATATTTAATGATAGTTTAGAATTACAGAAACTATCACTGAAACAGATAGCTTTGATATACATGTACGAGCGCGATGCCGAGCAAGTACGAATTAAGATATAATGTAAAAATGTTTTAATGTTTGCAAAAGAATATAATAAATCTATGCACCTATTGTACTTTCCAGGCTGTTAAGTGGTTAAATGATTTATTCAATGTTTTACTTCGAAATCACATGGGAGTTGGTTGTAATGTGAAGGAAATACAATCGCAAAAAGAGGAACATCAATCTTTCCAGGAAACAGCAAAAGTAAAGCATGATTACTGTTACAAATTATTTTTATAAAATAAGACAAACAGTAATAATAAAGTTGTTTTGTTTAATTTTCTATAGAATTGTCAAACATATAAACGTAATAGGATAAATATTTACAGGGAACTTATGAGTACGGTGGTCAGTTGGTGAATGGGGCACGTGTATTGAGATTATCTTGCAGAGTATCTCTAGAGGGTAATGCTAATCTATCTTCAAAATTACAACAGGCTTGGCAACAGTTCCGATCTGTCAGTCAGGAACAATTAATCAGGCTACGAGTATGCGCTGTTTTTCATAGAAACATCGAAGATGTATGAACGTAAATTAATATAATTCAATATGTCAATTAAAACGATGCTTCAATATTGTTATTCTTTTAATATTTTAAGATAAGAAATCATTATTTTATGTATTATGTACTGTACATGTTATTTCTATCTATCTCTTTCCTATATTTTAAATTAATTTATTTAAAGCATTGTACCGGATTACAAAATTTGGCGGAAACAGTGATGGCCCTGTATCATTCTGCAAAAGATGAAGATACGGCAAAAGCACGCATTAAAGAAAATATAAGAGATATCCTTGATAATCGAGAGAAACTTTTATTGGAAGTGGGTCGGATGGTAAGATTGGGTCGTCTCCTTAAGACGCGGTTGAAGGAACCTCTTTATAATCAACCGTAAGTATAATAAAGAATCAATCGCTTCGCATTAACATAATTACTAATAAATTTCTGCATTAATTTGAAGGTATCACGTCTTAGAGATTAGGATGATTAAAAAATTTCACAATTATACATAAAAGATGTAATTAGCACAATTGTTAAAAAAATGAAGATAATAAAGCAAAAGTAATTCTATAAAAATATTTTAATAATAAATATAATAAGAAACGTTTAAAATGTTTGTTTTATTTTTGTAATATATCTATATAATTTGATGATAAATAAATAATAATTGCTAAATATAACGTAATACGCTTGGTGTTACGCTTGCGCGTTTAACGGAGACAGTGGTGTGTTCAACGGAGCCAGTCTATGACTGGCTCTTGTCGAGATAGCTTCAATAATTTAGAAACGGTGCATGTAAGTGTGTACTACAATAAAATAACCGACATCTCATAACGCTTGATTTTACTTAAACAAAGATTATTCTTTGTTATATACATACATAGAATAATCTTTATTTTTTATACATATTATATGTATATATATATATATATA